CCGTTCGTTCCCCTTGGCTCGCTCTGGGCTCTACCCACGCACCCCTCCTCTACCCCGCACCACACCCCGTCCTCGCACCGCACCGCACCACACCCCAGACCGCACCCCAACTCGAAAAAGACTCGAAAACATTCGAAAAAATCCTCTCCCCAAAACCAAAAGCGACGAAATATAACGAGTCAAAAGAAACAAAAAACACGCACTTCTCCACGCTCAACCACGCCAGATTCGCGCTATACACGTCGACAAAGTTGGTGTTCCAGACCATCTCGGGCGTCCAGGTGGCGTCGGCGACGGAGGGGCCTGCCGATGCGTTAGATAATGTGGGGTAAGCGGAGGAGGAGGAGTAAAGAGAGGGGGGAGAAGAAAGACGCGCTACGGGACAGAGATAGAGTGGAAGCCCGCGCACCGCGCACAAAGGTACGCATGCGTTCTCTCCTCCCCGCGCGCTGTCCCTGCTCACCGCCTCACGGGTAGAGCCCCGCCATCCCCTGCGCCAACGCGCCACAACGCCGGAGGTAGACACCCTCCCATCGGCTCCCGACTGCGCTCATCCTCATCCTCATCGCAGCGCGTCTCGCCAACGACCCCGCCTCGTTTCTGCACCGTCACGCGGGGGACACGACCTCCGCCCACCCGCCCACCGCACTATATCGCCATCGACTCCGCTCATCGCCAAACAGGTCGAACCTCACACACTCACTCCACCCTCGCCCCGTACATCGGACCAGCGCCCCCGTTCTCCATCTCCTCCCTCCCCTCACCCTCCTCCCTCAAAAAAAACCAAAACCCTCCCACTCTCAAAGAAAGACAACGAAGAAAACTCACCCAACATCAACCCCTTCACCCTCCCCGCCGGATCCAGCCCGCTCGCGGCCAGCTGCGTCAAAAAGTCGCTAAACTCGCCGAAATAGTCGAACGGCCCGTAGGTCGCGGGGCGGTGGCCGTGCGCGTTGTAGAGGTCTGGTTCGTTGGATGCCTGGGAGGGAGGAGGGCGTTAGTAAAAGTGGGTGGAAGGGGGAAAGGGAAGAGGGGGAGAGGGAGAGGAGAGGAGGGGGAAGAGGAGGGGAAGAGGGAGGAAGAGACGAAATGAAGGGGAGGGTGAAAGGGAGAGGAGGGAAAGGCGAGGATGACGACGAAGGGTGCAAGCACCAGGACCGAGGAATTCCACGATCGACGTCGACTGGTGGCCGGAGGAGGGGGAGCCTCCCCCGCCATATGCATCCCACCGTCGTTCCCCCTGCATGCATCCTTGTCGTCGCCGCCCACCTCCCCGCCGCCGCCCGCGTCCGCACCAACGGTAAGAACGTCCCGACCTCACACCCGCGAGCGAAACGACGGACTTGCGGACTTGCCCCACCTCCCCTGGACATCGGGAGCCACACGCCCCGCCCCACCTCCGGCAAGCCCATCATCGGGGGACCCCGCGAACGGCGAGCGTCGACTAGTGGAGGGGTTTTCCCCGCCCTGGCTTTGGCTTCCCCTCCGCGTTGTCACCCGTCGTCGGCGCCACGCTGACCTCACACCTTCGAAAGGAAGGACGTCGGCCACTCGCACGGCACCTCGACAACGCCAATGCCAACGCAGCGCCTCCACCGCGTCCTCGTCCCCGTCCGCGTCCCCGTCCCGCCGCACATCCGCATCCCCGCGCGCACGAGCAGTCCGGGTGTCCCCGTCACCAGTGCAAGCGCCTCCACCACGCATCGGCATCGGATGGTCATATCACAAGGTACGCTTGCGCTTGAACGCCCGTCCACGTCTCATCTCGTAGACGCGTGTTAATTCCCGCCGCAGCGCAGGGCAGTATCGGGGTCGAGGCGCATCGTCAGCGTCCGTCGGCGTACAGAGCAGGACCGAGCACAAGCTCGACGCCCACGCGACACGCACACGCACACGCCCCAGCTCGCCCACAACGACGGGCGCTCCCTCTCCTCTTGCACGTCGCACGCGGCGCTCCCCTCGCACGTCCTCGCCGCACACGCGCCCGCACCCGCACACCGCGCGCGCGCCATCTCCCCTCCCACCTTCCCCCACCTCCAACCGACGACCAACGGGGACGCTCGACCGACTGACGACGAGGCCCGAGGCTCGACACCCAACGCTCGGGGGTCGAGGGTCGGGAACTTCCTCCCCCGCACGCCCTCTCTCCCCCTGCATCCTCGCGCAACAATAAAGAAAAGGATGCGAAACAAGAATGGGCGCGCTTGGAAGAGAAACACCCACCTGATACCCAATAACCCTTCCCCCCAAAATGCGCTCCGCCGCGCCGACGATGGCGAGGTCAAACGGCTGCGTGACGAACCAGGGGATGCCGAGGAACCAGTTTACGTTTACGAGGGAGGATATGTTGGACATCTAGAGGCGAGGCACGTCAGTGCTGAGCCCTTTTATTGGGAGGGGATAGAGGAAGCGAAGGGAGAGAAGAGGGTGGGGGAGAGGCGAGGCGTCTCCCGACAAAACGACGCTCCCCCTTCCTCACGCGGCGCTCGCACTCTCTCCGCACGTCGACGTCGACCACAGTCGACAACCGCCCGCCGCGGGTGTCCCGTCACCAGGTCGAGGTCGTGCAACAGCCCACACCCCATCCTCGACCGGACGCTCTCATCACCACTCGCCTACTCGTAGACGTGCGCTCCGTCCGCCAACTCCCGCCCCAGCCCCAGCCCCAGCCCCAGCCCCAGCGGCGTGTCGGGGTCGAGGGACAGACGAGCAGAGGCGCACGGCGTCCACTCGCAGCGCCAAAGAGCGGACTCGACATCTCGCCTCGTAGACGTGCGCCTAGCGGAGTATCGGGGTCGAGGCGTGAGGGACAGATGAGCAGAGGCGCACGGCATTGACAAAGACCGGTGTCGTCCCCCACGCACACGTCGCCCCATCCCATCCTCACACCGCTCTCCCAACGCCTCCAACGCTCACACCGCCTCCAAGAGGAATTGGGAGAAGAAACGCAAAAAAGACACACCATATAAAACAACTCATCGCTATACTCCAACGGCGGGGTCTGCGTCGTGCCTGTGACGCCTGTGAGGTTCTTTTGGAGGATCTTGCCGTCTGGGATGGAGGAGGCGGGGACGAGGGTGGCTGATTCCTGGTGGGAGCGAGTGAGGGTTAGCGAGCGAGCTCTTGTTTATATGGGAAAGCAAGGGGAGCTGCCCCGCACCTGCGAGTTCCCCCCCACGCGTACGCGCACCGACCCCGCGCGCTGCTGGATATTCGCCATCAAATTGAGGAACGGCACCTGGATGTGCGTCGCGTTTTTGCCCACTGCGTCAAAAATATTAACCTCTCTTCCTTCCTCTCTCTTTCATATGATACAGCAGAAAGACTCACAAACTTGGTTACTAACACTCATCTCAATACTAAACCCCACGAAATCCCCCCCTGCACGATACTCACTCCCGGCGTCCCCCCATTATTCAGTTGTATTTGAAAGCTACTGGGGACAGCGGGGGTGGGGACGGGCGGCGCGACGAGGGTAGTGGGGTTGTACGCCGCTGCGCCCGTGTACGCGGATGCGGCGGCGGCGGCTGAGCCGGTGGCGAAGGCAGCTTGGCCGGGGGCTTGGTAGACTGTTATGGCGCCGCGGGCGAGAGGGAGGGCGAGGAGGGCGAGGAGTGGGCGGAGGCGGGCCATGAAGGGCGTTGAAGGTGTGTACAAGAGAAAGGTGGAGATGAGATGAGAAAAGGAATTAGAATACCGAATTGGCGTGGTGACGGTGTCGCTCGCTGCGATGTTGCCGAATTGGTGCCGACGTCTATAAATAACTAGACAGCGTGTGATTGCAATTCAGCCTTTCTCGTCCATCTCTCTTCTGCTCTGTGGCTTCATTACCTCGAAAACACCAATTCAGATTCCTCTCTCTTCCTCTGTTCACCGAGCACATCGGATCGCCCTGACAGTGACAATCCTCCGACGTCGAGCCCTGTTACATCTATTTTCAGAAATAGAACAACGTCTCTTTATTTATAGATGGCTGCGGACACGCGCGGACTGTCGGTATGATGTCACGACAGCGCCGAGTATGCGATCGGGTGTGTTCAACTCGAACGACTCGACGAGCGCTCCGATCCTTACAGTTGGAAAGAATAAAACTGAGTCGGTGTAGGCCCCCGGTCACTACCTTGTAGCCTGGTCGGATTTTGGCGCCCGAAAATGGCTGATTTACTCTATAAATTTCCAGTTCAGCCGCCTGATTTACTCTATTTCGGACTGACATTTGGGGCCCAAATTCCCATTTTCCGCTGTGGGGCCAAAATTTTCGCTTCTGGACTCTTGCTCAACCATTACACCCTCTACTCGCATTTTCCAACGACTCTTGAGTCTTTCAGCTCGATTCTAGGTCTACAGAATCAATTTCACCTTGGCCTGATGTGGATGCTTTGCCAAAAAAAAAATCTCGCGCTCCGCGAGATTTACTCTATTCCAGTCGAACGGTGGTCTTTTCCAGCCTGTTTTACTCTATAAAATGGCCGGAGATAGGGCCATTTTGGGGTGCTGATTTACTCTATCACAGACCGCCCGGTAAGGTAGTGACTGGGGGCCTGTCGGTGTACTCAGAATCACCCAACGAGTGTCATACCACCCTCGGATCCCCGCAAACACCACCCGTTGTTGGCCGCTCACTGGCAGCGCTGATTTCCTCGTCCCCATGAGCGCTGATTTTTATCTCTCCCATACAAAGACATAACGAGAGCAGGAGGAAAAGCGGACATAGTGCATGGTGCACTGCTGCATTTCATGGGTGGGTCGAAAACCGAAAATTGACGCAGTTGTAGGGGTTCGACTCCCCGCGTCCGCATATCCATCCTAGTCCAATTTTTTTTCCGTTTTTTTTTCTGTCTCGCGATCCAACAATTCAACAGGACAAAGCAAGACTAAATCATCTCCCCGATTCCATCCATTCCATTCGACTCCATTCCATCTGCCCACCTTCTCGGCCTCTCAACACAAAGCATTGAGAAATCATGCCAGTTAGCAGCTTGCAGATATAAGGGTAAGAAGCGGACGTGGTGCATGGGGCACCGCTGCATGGAATTTCTCTGGAAAATTCAGCATTGGAGCAGTTGAAGGGGTTCGACTCCCCGTGTCCGCATTCCTCAGGCGTGACAACTTTTTTGTTGTTTTTTTTCCCCTTTCTTTCTTTGTTTCTGTCTGGCAACTCAACGGTCCACTACTTTCAAACAGGACTCGCACTTACAGACTCCTGACAGGCCGCTGTCGCCAATCGTCCCAACAATTCCATCCAGTAAGAAAAAAAAAGGTTTGACTCAGAAACATCTGACCAACTTTTTCACCTCATAGTTCTCGAAAAGTTCTCCTAGCTAGCAGGTTGAGGAAAGGAGGGTGGAAGCGGACGTGGTGCACGGTGCACTGCTGCATTTCATTAGGAAAGCGTAAACTTGAAGCAGTTGTAGGGGTTCGACTCCCCGCGTCCGCATTCGGCGCTCCAGATTCTTTTTTGCTGTCTTGCAGTTCGAATATCTTATTTTTTTTCGCACCTACGGGAAGGAAGAAATGAGGGTAGGAAGCGGATGTGGTGCGTGGTGCACTGCTTCATTTCATTTAGCGATTGCGGTTGGTAAAGCAGCTGTCGGGGTTCGACTCCCCGCATCCGCGTTCGGTGACTCGGAGATTCAGATTTTTATTTTATTCTTTCTCTTCGTGGTTCAAAATAAAATCGCGGCTAATCCAAGTTACACGAAGGATTGGAACGCGGACGTGGTGCGTGGGCACCACTTCATTTTATGCGGGGTAAAGAAAACCAAAATTGAAGCGGCTACCAGGGGTTCGAGTCCCCACGTCTGCGTTTGGTGACAACGGTTTTTTTTTTTTGTTCCTTTTTTTTTGGTCACGCAATTCAATTGTCCCCTGTTTTCAAAGCAGGACTCGATATTAAATTTACATCCAGTGAAAAAAAAAGTTTGACTCTGATCCATCTTATGGCTCTTTTGTTCGCATGGCACCAATTGGCTTATATTATAAAGCCATCCTAGTTAGCAGCTTGAGGAATGACGTGGCGCGAGGTGCACCATTGTATTTCATTTGGGATTTGAGAAAATTAAACCAGTTGTCGGGGCTCGAGTCCCTGTGTCCGCATGGTATTTTGATCCTGTTCTTTTTTTTTTTGGTCCCGCGATTCAATGGTCCACTGGTCTCTGACATGACTTGCCAGAGGCGGTCCAGTGCAGAATTCTGTAGTCAATTAATTATCCCGACAATCCCAGGATGAATAAAGCAGTCATTCACCTCTCATCCCCAATAAATCATTCAACTTGGAGGCTCAAGCAAACAAGAGTAACAAGCGGACGAGGTGTACGGCGCACCGCTGCACTCCATGTGTTGTCGGTATGGGAATGAAGCAGTTGCTGGGGTTCGACTCCCCACGTCCTCATAGTCATTCGTTGAGTTGTTTTGTTCTTTTTTTCTTTCTCACAATCCAACAGTTCAACAGGACAACATAAGCCCTCAATTCCATCCAGTTGAAGTTAAGGTTTGACTCGGGTTTGGCATCTTATGCCTCTTTTTCATCTCACGACCCCAATAAAATCCTCCTACTTGGCAGCTTGAGTAAATGAGGGCAGCAAGCGGACATGGTGCCCGTGCATTTCATGTGTACGGGAAACCGAAAATTGAAGCAGTTGAAGGGGTTCGATTCCCCGCGTCTGCATGCATCAGTCATAGCTTTTCTTTTCCCCTTCTTGTCTCGCAATTCAACATTTCAACCGCTTTCAAACCGCGACTCAATAATCCCCACAATTCCATTCAGTAAAAAGTTTTGACTCTGAGACATCTAACCACCTTTTTCAACTAATCGTGCCAATAGAATGATCCTAGCTAGTAGCTTGAGGAATGAGGATAGGAAGCGAACGTGGTGCACGGTGCACCGCTGCACTTCATTAGACGGATCCACCAACAAAAATTGAAGCAGCTATCGGGGTTCGACTCCCTGCGTCCGCTTACAACTTCCACGGCGTTTTTTTTTTGCCACAGTCAACGGTCTACTACTTTAAACACACGGCTCAATTATCCCTATTCCGCCCAGCAATAAAAATCATCTATGTTAGCAGCTTGGGGAACTGAGAGCAGGCAGCGGATGTAGTGCGTGGTGCACCGCTGCATTTCATGTGGTCTTGTGAAACGGGAAATTGAAGCAGCCGACGGGGTTTGACTCCCCGCGTCCGCATGACATCTCGATCCAGCTTTTTTTTTTTTTTGGTTCTTTGTCTCTATCTCGCGATTCAACACTTCAACCCTTTTCAAACGGACTTACAGACGTGCTACATGGCAGACACTGTAACTAATCATCTTGACAAGTCCAAGATAAATAAAGCCATTCGCCTCTCATCCCCAATAGAATCACCCAAGTTAGCAGCTTGAATAAACAAGAGTAGCAGGCGGACGTGGTGCATGTTGCACCACGGCATTTTATAGGCTGATGATGGTAAATAAAAATTAAGCAGCTGAAGGGGTTCGACTCCCCACGTCCGCATGCGCATTTGAGCTGTGATTTTTTTGTTTCCTTCTTTGATTCAACGGCCAACCGGCCTCTAACATCACTTGCGGTACCACTGCCAATTGCAGTCAATTATTCTTAAAATTGCGGCCAGCAATAATTTAAGAATTGACTCCGAGACATCTGCCCAACCTCAATAAATCATGCTGCTTAGCAGCTTGAGAAAATGAGTGTAGCAAGCGGACGTGGTGCACGGCGCACCGCTGCATTGGATACGTTATCAAGCTGTATCAATAATTTCCGGCAACATCCGGGGTGATCTCACGCGGCGCGCCGCCCTTCGTTCTACACATCTTTGTTTCTTGGAGATTGGCTCCGACTCATAATATTGTGATTTCTTAGCTATAATAGACCATATTCACCAAAAAGCCAGATAATCGGGTGTCTCCCAAACTTGCGTTGACTCCCAACTTCAACATTCCAATGGCCTAGGAACTGACAAAACACTCATCGAGGCTCCTCAAGTGCCGACTGAACGACGACTCTGTACGAACGATGAAGTAGACTCAAATAGCTGCAATTAGGGGTGCTCAATAACTAGGTCGACCTGGTCAGGTCGCCATTTAATTCGAAAAACATTTGATCCTTTGATTGCCAGCTGTCTCGGTTGCCAGCTGTCTCGGCTGTTGTTTCGGTTGCCAGCTGTCTTGGTTGCTGTGTCGCATATTATTGAGAGAGAAATACGAGGATTTGAGTAAGTGATATCATACGAGGATTCGAGCTCCAATCAGTGAATGCCCCTCAGAACCCCGGCAATATATATTTTCGGAACCGAGTTTGTTGTAAAATAATTCTAGAATTTATGTCGGTCCGTCGTCTTCATGGATTTGAATATGAAACTATGCCAGATGATTCAGGCTAATTCGAGATGGTATCTGAAAATGGAACTATATTCAAATCCATGAAGACGACGGACCGACATAAATTCTAGAATTATTTTACAACAAACTCGGTTCCGAAAATATATATTGCCGGGGTTCTGAGGGGCATTCACTGATTGGAGCTCGAATCCTCGTATGATATCACTTACTCAAATCCTCGTATTTCTCTCTCAATAATATGCGACACAGCAACCAAGACAGCTGGCAACCGAAACAACAGCCGAGACAGCTGGCAATCAAAGGATCAAATGTTTTTCGAATTAAATGGCGACCTGACCAGGTCGACCTAGTTATTGAGCACCCCTATTGCTACCACAAAAAAATCAAGAAAACGGACTGCTGCTATTTATACTGTTAGTCTAGGGCTTCGACCCGTCCGTCCCGTCAGACGGCCGGGTCCAAAAACGGCCGTTTTTTTGACGGGTAAAAATGGGTGCACCCGTCCGTCACCCGTTTTTGACGGGTATGTTCTCGCTCCAGAAGGGTTATCGACTTTTGATTCATAATTAAACCTGCAGCATTCATCCATAGTATGAGTATAATCACCAGAGAGAAAGGCCCAGCCCAGTATTTAACCGACCCGTCACCCAAAAATCTCGCGACGGCCGGGTACCGACCCGTCCAAGACCCGTCGCGACGGGACCCGTACCCGTCAGCGACGGGGACGGGTCGAAGCCCTATTTATACACGTATACGTATGATATCCCACGTTCATCTCCTTGAAGCGGTCCACATCGATAAGGCGCCCCCGAGTCTTTCAATGGCACTTCCTCTGTTTTGGCCCGGCCGCTACCGTTTCTACCCGATTGGCAATACATCCGCCGTGTCTTTGACTAGGGACCTTGCTCCCGAAACAGACGGCACTATCCTCCTGCTGGGATGCGGCGACCCAAGAAATATCTTGTACACCATATTTTGCGAACCTGAACATCGTGCGTTCATTGTGGCTCCTTCGAATTCTCCTTACCCAAGTTTCAGTCAATCGCACTCTCGATTTCACTTGCTGCGATATGGATCCGGCTGTACTGGGTGCGTTATATCCTGAGGACTCAACTGGCTCCTTAATTCGACATTCCAGCTCGCAATGTTATCCTCCTTACCTTGATAGCCGATAACCAAACCGCTTCCACTACCATGTGGAATATCTTTTACCATATGCGCCTCGATTCGGCCTCGCTCGCGGTGTTGGTGTCCCATTGCCAAAAGCTCCTCGCCATGTCTGCAACTCTCAAACAGTGGCGCTCTTCGCCGTACTCGCATTTCATCGGAATGTGTACCCAATACACCTTGACAGAGCTGCGCCGCCATTGGTCCTTATACGAGGCCATGCCGAGTTTGTCGCCTCAACGAATCAGTGCCGTTGAACGTGCATTTTCGGAGGTTTCTAGAGAGGCTGCAGGGCTAGGAATGCATCTGGCCGCCACTTTCAGTTCTGCACGTTCCGCTGGTCCGCTCATGACACAAGCGCTAAGCGTTTGTGGGGATCAGTTCACGAAATATTGGGACACGGGTGGAAGCTTCACGAGTGAAGCCGAAACCCGCAATAGCAAGCTATTGAACCCCACATTTGCATATTCTTTAGGTGGGGAGGGGTGCTCGATCAATTCCACAGCAGATCCCCTGGTCTCGTTCCACCTGGCCTCCGCGCTGGGCAATAGCAAACAGGAACCCACCGTCACTGATATTGTAGTTGCCGCC